GATTCAATAAAAATGAAAAAAAGAAACAACAACAGAAATCTTACAGAACCATTCTTGTGTCTAGAAGTGCTGTCTTCTTGATTTAAAATCATGTCAGTGGGTGTGGCAGATGCTACTGGCTCAATGCCTAGGAAAGAAAGATTACCTAGAGGGGGTGTCCCGGGAGGGCGTAGAGGGTGTGATTAGTTAGGATTATGGGTTTAAGAATGTAGTTTCCCAACTCAACAGTCTGCCTAGGTTTTTCAATGAATTGTGCCTTTGAGATGCAATACTGCATAATGTTAGAATTTGGATTTTGGAGCTAGAGGTGAATTCACATCCCAGATTCACTGCTTCCTGGCAGTGTGACCTTGGACGAGTTGCCAACCTCTGTGAGGCTATTTCTTCATCTATAAAATGTGAACGATGATACCTACATCACTGGGTTTTGGTGGATTAAATGTGATCACGCATATAAAATGCCTAGCACTGTGCCTGTTAATGATCAAGTTAGTTCTTCTCAAATCTTGAGTAACAAATTAGGTGCATGTGTGGAACCAAGTTTTTTCTCTCATGTCAAAATTAGCTTCTTTTCCCCTGTTTTGTGTTTTGCCAAGTCACTCCCCTGCCTGTTTTAACTTGAGTTGCCTTTCTTGATTCTCAGAACCATTTTGAAAGTAGGGGTAAGTGCCCCAGGCTCCCTGCAGTACTTGCGGGGTGCAGGTCCTGTCCGGTGTGCCTGGAGGAGGGGTTGTAGGAAGATCAGTCCGTCTGGTGCTCTCTGGCCAAGCTGGTGCTTACTCAGAGGTGTAGTGAGCAGGGGATGATAAAATCCGATTTTCTCCATCTCCTCCCACAATGCAGTCTTGTAACACTTAATTGGTTTTGAATACGAAGCAGGGAGGAAATGATGCTATTCTTTGTTTAAAAGTGAAACCCTAAGCTTGCCTTGTGGCAGCTGATTATTTCATCATGAGACCATGGAAAGTATTTTCATCTGAACACACTTTACCCTGTTCCATGACTGAAGCCACAGATTTTTCTATAAAGAGCCAGAGAGTAAATATTTTAGGCTTTGTGGGCCATAGAGTCTCAATTTAGCTCTGCTGTTGTAGTGCGAAAGCAGCCACAGACAGAACACAAACGAATGAGTGTGGCTGTGCTCCAGCAAAATCTTATTTACGCAAACAGGTGGCAGGCTGGCAGGCTGAATGGGCCTGTTGGCTTTTGTCTGCCAACCGCTGTTGCAGACCTTGGAGAGGCAGCGAGAACAATGGTGAGAGCATGCGCACTGGAGCCGGGTACGTGCGGACCCCAGCCCTGCTAATTTCTGCTTTGCACTTGGGTGAGTCCCTTAATAAGGGGCAGGAGTATCGGCTCATTGGGCTTTCATGAGAATCCAGGGAGACGGAGTCTCTGAAGAATGGGGCGCAGGGCTGGCACTTGGTGAATATCAGCTGCTATTACTTGTTCCCCCTTGACTTGGCTAGTCCCCTGATTTGGGGTGTGTGTGTGTGGGGGGCTGTTGGGAATGATTTTAGGCACATTGAAGGCTAATGCTACTTGAAAGTTTATTTGCTTGTTTATTTTTCTAGCATGAGGTCTAAATGAAAAAAAAAAAATATGTGGCCTTCTCTAGCTGCTGAGAAGGTCATTGGTGTTGCCCAGTGCTGTAGCTTTCACAGCTGAGTAGGTAAACAGTGCAGCTAAGTGGAACCAGTTGGACAAGTCAAGCCAAAAATAAAGATAAGGTTAAATATCGACTTCATTAGACTCAGCTTGCCTTTCAGCTTTTATAACAAAGACTAAGCTGGTTGATGGGAAAGGGCGTGACCAGTAAATGCCACCTACTCAAGGACTTGCAGTTCATTCTTTAGCAAAGCTTTCCCAAACAGCCACCTGCTCTGTGCCTGGCAGGGTGCTAGGCTCACTGTCATCCTGCAAGAGCACACAGTCTAGTAAAAGGGAGTAGAAGGATAATCCCAACACAGGCAGAGGGGGACTGTGGCTGCTCACTACCTAACCCAGCAACGCCAGATTTCTCCAGCTTTCTCTGGTCTGTGTCCTGGCTCTGCCCTCTCCACCAAGATTCCTGCCCCCACCTCCCAGTCCTGCCCTTTGCTCCGGCCTGGGCAGGTTCCACGGCCTCCTTACATTCTGAACTCATTTGTCCATTCATTCATTAACAAAGTATTTGTGTGTGTATTATGTGCCAGCAAATAAGACAAGGTCCCTGTTCTCACAGATCTTAAGGGCTAGTTGAAGAAATACAATTTTTCATAAAATAATGCTATGGGAGTGAGCAATATTGCTCTATGACAGTTAATAATTTTTTAAAAAAGAACTAGACAAGGAGGATTTCCATGGGCGTATCTGTGTATGTTTGTGCATATATGGGTTATTTTATACATATCTGGGAGCAAAATGTACATACATACTGCTCCTTCTGTTCCATTCTCTTCCCTGTCCATTCTGATTCCTTCATCAGTTCAAGTAATTATGACTTAAGTAATTATGTGGGAAATAGCAACATATCAGTACACACAAAAAATACAGTTAGGTTAAGAAAAACTAGAGTTCCCTCCTGCTCCCCCCCACCAACCCAGGGAAATGCAGTTTTCATTTCAACTTCATGTCACATTGTAAATTTTGTTGCAGTATTTTTCCCTTTCCCTTAGGATTTCTTTTCTTCTTCCATCCACTTTTAAAAAAGCATTTAAAATCTCTTGTAAAGTTTGAAAGAATGAACATTCATATGCTCTTTACCTGGATTCACCAGTTGTTAACATTGTGTCATTTGCTTTCTTTTTCTCTCTCTACATATTTAATTTTTTATTTTGCTGAACCATTTGACAATAAATTGCCGACATCATGACACTTCACCCCTAAATATTTTAGCATGCACCTCCTAGAATATGCTAAATAGAAGCTTTCTTTTCTAGCCATAAAACCATTACCATACTAAAGAAACTTAACACTGATACAATAATAATATCTAATATGTAGTAAGTATTTGAATTTCCTAATAGTCTCAAAAAAGTCCTTTATGACTGTTTCTTTTAAATCCATTCAAGGATCATGCACTGCATTTAGTTCTCCTGTCTCTAAACCCCTTAGCCCAGAACTCTTTTTCTCCCCCCTTTCATAATATTAACAGTTTTGAAGAATCCAGGCCAGCTGTCTTATAGAATGTTCCAAATACAGAGTTGTCCAATTGTTTCATTGCTATAAGATTCAGGTTAAACATTTTAGGGAGAATACAACTTAGGGGATACTGTGTCCTTCCCATTAAATCACAATCAGGAATAGAATTTGTTTGTCCTATTATTGGTATGGTAACTTTGATCTCTTGTTAAAGGTGGTATTGGTCAGATCTTCTCATCTGAGGCTCTCCTCCTCCACCCCATGTAATTGATAAATAATCTTCAAGGTGCTACTTTGAGAACTGTGAATATGTCTTGTTCCCCAATAACTCTTCACCCAATGATTTCAGCATCCATGGATGATCTTTGCTGAATCAAATATCACATTGGTGGTTGCAAGATGATATTTTTCTAATTCTATCATTTCGTCTACTTTTATTAGCTGGCATTTTTCTGTGAAGAAGAGCCCTTCCCACATTTTTTTGTTTTAGCATTCTTATGGACTCATGAATTCTTTCTTTATTCATTATCATCCATTACTATCATTTGAACTAAGAATATTTTAAATTGAGGCATGATTTACACATAGTGAAATGTGTAGCTATTAAGTGTACAATTGATTAGTTTTCACAAATGCACATGCTCATGTAACTGCCACCCTGTCAAGTTTAGAACATATCTATCACTACAAAAAGTTTCCTTTGGCCTCTTCCCAGTCATCACCTTCACCCCCTTCTTGCCCAAGTAGCACTGATCTGATTTCTTCATTATTCTCTTTTATGTTTAAATTGCCCCAAATGTTGGCAATGAAAACCACATCTAGTAGGTGTTGTCTATGTCCATCTATCATGTCCCCCTTAACTTCAGGCACTTTCAACACGGTGTTTTGTTTTATTCTTTCTAACAGCTGAAAATACCCCATGGCATGGTTACTAGTTTAATCATTTCTCCACTAGTAAACTTTGGGTTATTCCCTTCTTTATCCTGTTAAGAAAATGTGCAGCAAACATCTTGGAACACATTCTTGCACCACTTTTGTGTTTTTGTAGGCTAGAGCTTTCTTTTTTGGGGGCAAAGAGTATGAACATTTAAATTTTTTGTTGATATTGCCAAATTCTTCCCTTCCCTTAAAAAGCCATGTTAATTAAGTTTCCACAAACAGTTCTGGTTTTCCCCGCAGCCTTACCAACATTGATTTTTATCTGTCTGTGTGTTTATGGTGGTGCAGAGTTTGGATTTGGACTTCTCCTTGAGTAAGGCAAACACCCAAACCATAGAGTCTCCTTTTTTGGTTCCAAGTCCAGTTTGATTTGTGTAGAAATGAAATCTCTCTTCAAAGGAGAGGTTAAACCAAAGGAGAAATGTTTGCTATTCAGTGTCAGAAATTCGCTGTCATTCAATGTCACATTCACCATTACCACCAACTTTTGGCAGAGGGTCTTCTTATTGTTTTTATTCTGTTTTAACCGACAGGAGAGATTAATGAGGGGAGGGTGTGTGTGAATGGGATGATGGATGACATTGCCTCCAGGGCTTCCAGTCCTCTTGAGCAGTCTTTATAAAACTTGGTTCAGAGTGACTGCTCTGTATGTCTACTCTTAAATAACGATTGGAACTGATTTTTATTTTGCAGTGAATTTGATGATTCTACATTTGAGATAACAGGCTTATCATAACTTATGTGTGTGTGAGAGATCACTCCCTTACATCAGCTAGTAAACAAAGACTTTATATTTTTGTTTTATGTTAAATATTGAACTTTAAGTTAAATACATTTGTGGATGACTTTTAACTTTTTTTTTCTTTTTTCAGGTTGAGGAAGTTGTTTGAAAGCTATTGTCTCTTTGGTAAAGTTATCTATGTTGACTTTCTTTATAGGTATTTGAAGCTGTGATTTCGTGGATCAATTATGAGAAAGAAACTCGTTTAGAGCACATGGCAAAGCTGATGGAACATGTCCGTCTCCCTCTTCTACCTAGGGATTACCTAGTCCAGGTGAGTCCTGTGTGAAGAACAAGCCTCTAGGGTTAGTATGGGTTACCCTGGTTGTCTGGAGTGGTTGAGGAGTTTTCTGGGTCTTCTGTACAGATTGAGGGCATCAACCCATTGAGTTAAGTGTGAGGTGTGGTAGCATAAGAGCATTGGTTTGAAAATAAGACATTTAGGTTTCAGTCCCTGCTCTACTATTTGTTAGCTAGGAGTTTTTATTTAACCTCTTAAAGTCTTGATTTCTTCTTCCATAGAAGGGAAATTATAACAGAGCCCAACAGGGTTGTTGTGGGACCAAAGGAGTTGTAAATATGTAAGTTAGGAGTTTAGCATGGAGCAGGCTCAAACAAATGTTCAATAAGTTAGTTCAATATTGTAGAGGACCAATCAGAAGGGTCATTTCCATAATGTTGCTTTGTTCCCTTTTGCCTTAGCTTTAGGCCACTTGGGGCCTGATTTGGGATTGATAAACCAACTCTCACAGGTGCCCGGAATGCATATTGCATCTACCTCCTCTGAAAACAGGGTGCCATATGATTTCTCATTTAATCCTTATAATAACCCCTGAGCAGAGATTATAACCCCCTTTGTTACAAATTTTGGCCTTGAGGCTTAAGAGGTTGGATTTATCTGGAGTCACCAGCTGGTGGGAGACAGGGTAGGATTCAAATCCAAGCCTGTCTGGCTCTACCTCACACACCTTGCACTAAGCAGGCCACCACCTTTAATGCTCTCTATTCTGTTTATCTATTACATGACTTATTTTGTACAGCAAATGACATTACATACTCTTACAAGTAGGAGACTTTAGAACTTAAATATATGAATGAAACAAAACTCCACGGCAGTAAGCCAGCCCTCAGCTATCCCTGACAAGTCTCTGGAAGGAATGGAAAGAGTGAAGGAAAGATAAGAGGATGCTCAGCAGCCCAGGAACCTAGCTCTGTCACTTCTCAGCAGTTTCACACCGGAGAAATACTCAACCTTTCTCAACCTCAGTGTTCTCCTCTGGTAAAAATGGCACCTGCCTGTGCAGGATTATTTGGGGATAGAATGAGACCATCCGTGTGAAGCCTGCGGCCATTCTCAGTGAATCCAGCTGAAATATGTCCTCACAAACACTTGTAAAGTCCTCAGCTCATGACACTGTAGTCCATAGGCCTCATGTCAGGGAAATGCCATCTGAACTCTTAACCTCAGCCCTCTTCTCAGGTACTGAGCCCTGCATTTTGCACTTTGAATGGTACCACTGCCACCTGGTGGCAGCATATCCTTCCTGAGGAAAGGTCCCCTAAGCAGAGGGACTGAACCTGCCAGAGCTCCCAGTGTCAATCAAACCTCCCACTGTCCTGTGGGAAACTTATCAAAGGTAGAAGTGGACGTTTGGCCTCCAGCACAGTCTTGCTTCCACAGGGAGGAAGGACAGCCTGTGGCCCTGAGTTCCAGAGGAAGCTCAAGGGGCTTTAGAGACCCCTAGTCACATCCTCCAGCAGGTGTCCACAACCAAAACTTAACAAAGACATTAGGACATAGTTCCCGGGTTAGTATGGCAGAGTAGGGTTCAGATCTGGAGAAGAAGGGGTCAGAGGCAATGGGCATGAGAACTGTTTTAAAAGGGCTCTTTTCAGAACACCTCTGGAGGAAGAGGATATTTCAAGAACACTCATTTGACCTTGAAACTTCAAACTGGTGTTTCCCACTGGGGATGGCTGATGGTTGAGGAGGAGGAGGAGAAAGGGAAAGCCCTGGGAAGACCTGCACCCCCACAGCCTGACTTCTCGGGGAGGTGTTTCCTTGTTTGTTTGTTTTTAATAGGTAACATTTACTAGGCTTTCAGTAAACCTTTAAAAATATTGTCCTAAGTATGTAACATGCTATATCTCTAAAATAAGCTTTTATTGTGATAAAATATATGACATAAAATTCATCATTTTAACCATTTTAAGTAGATAATTTAGTGGTATAAATTTCATTCACCATGCCGTACAACCATCACCATATCCATTTCTACAACTTTTTCATCATCCAAAATTGAAAGTCTGTACCCATGAAGCATGAATTCTCTAGGGGAGTTTTTCATGCAAGCTGAATGAGTTCTTTGGGAGAAATGCTATTTATGCATTTCTCTTTCCTCCCAAGGTTTTTTTAGAGCTCCTCTCGCAACCTTTTACTTTTTTTAACTGACCCTAAAAGTTTATGATCTGTCTCAACCTGGTTCAGTCCCTCAGTGGGAGGGTGAAAAAACCTTCCCAGAAGACAGAGTGTTTTTGAAAGTATTCTTGGGATTCATCTCTGGGGAAGGAAGTTCCCAGAGGTGACAGAGGCCCTGTCTTACCAATCCTCTTTCCCTGCCAGATCCAATGCTGCCCAGCAGGTGATGGCGCTGGCCACATTCCACTCCTCGTTACAGGTGGGGACCTAGGAGAGGCTCAGTCAGGCCTTGGGCATGATCAGCTTGAGGTGGAGATAATTGAGGTGGGGAGGCCATTCTCATTCTCCAACTGGACTTGAGCACCTCAGGGTCAGAACCCTTATGTTGTTCATCCTGGGGTCTAGTGCTAGGCTGCCCAACTAGAATCATTCTCAGTCAGTTAGCTGTTGAATGGAATTGACCTTTCCCAACAGATTCCAAGCACTTCAGCAAAGGAAACATGAAGTGGCCTCTGGAGACCACACTGCCCCTTTTAGATATGCCACATAGCAGTCTGATCTGGACCAAACGGTAGAGGTTTGAGAGAGCACCAGACTGATTTCATCCTTGGCCTTGCTCAGGAAACATTTAGGCTAATTTTTGCTGAGTACCTGCTTAGGCCCGTAACTCTGGAATAAGAGGCGAGGAAGCTATTGGGGTCCAAGGTGAGATCAGTAGGTGGGACTTTTGTGCAGGACATTTTTTCTACTCTTATATCTCTGCTCCATTAGAGGGTGCCTCACTGGCCAGTTTTATCCTGAGGATTTCACTTAAGAATATGGATATGAATTCTTCTTCTTGATAGTCATGTTGTTTTATTTCATGCTTCCAAAGATTGGCTGGTGGATCCCACCCTCTTCCTTTCCTCACTTTCCTCCTCTCAAATGTTTGACCATTTGCCATAAACATTGTGATACATTCAAATCAGGTGGAATGTGGGAAAAGGCTTTCAGGACAACTAATTGTCTTTGTTTTACATAATCTCATTTTAAGCTTCAAAACAAACAAATGAAGACACAATTAGGTTGTGGGTCATTTTAATATGCCAATTTTACAGATGAGAAAACTGAGGATAAGAAGAATTAAGTGGTAGAGCTGGAATTTTTATCCTTGTTGGTTTGATGCCTGAGTTTAATCACTTATTCCACAGTACTCTTGAAATGCAGGAGGTGACCACCAAGTTGTAACTCTGTAGACCTTTCTCTTGAGGTCTGAGATGAGGTGCTGTGAGAATGAATGAGTGTGGGAGTACGAATGACTCAGCCTGGGGTGACAGCATGGCAGATTTGGCCAGGCTCTGCTCCTGGATCACCTGTGGTTTATTACCTCTAGACAGTTGAAGAAGAAGCTTTGATAAAGAATAATAATACCTGTAAGGACTTCCTCATCGAAGCCATGAAATATCATCTGCTCCCTCTGGATCAGAGACTCTTGATTAAGAACCCCAGGACCAAGCCCAGGACTCCAGTCAGTTTACCCAAGGTAAGCCCCAGCCCAGTCACTGCCAAGAGTTGGGACTGCGTCCAGGGAAAGTGGCCTTCTGTTCCTGCCTCCAAGTCTTTCCTCATCCATGGCTGCCCTGCACCTTGGTTGCATTAGGATCAAAGAGATGGAGTCTGCTGGTTCCTCTTGAACCTTCTGGTACCTCTCTCTTCTGGGCTCTTCCTTTCTTAAGAGTTTCAAGGTAATCTCCGATGTCACCAGGGCAGATTGAGAATACCTCAAAGCCCTTCCCTCTACCCTTCTCTTGTTTCACACCATGGTTTGGGCTACATTGCTTTTGAAAGCAGAAGAATGGCTGAATGGTTTTTGACTTAGTGATGGCCACAACAATCCTCTTTCTAGGCCCTTCTTTGAGTCAGAACAGTTCTAGTCTGGTTCCTTCCATTACCACAGAGTCATAAAGGACAGTTAGGACTGCCAGAGGGGAAAAGGGGCTCAAGAAGTCTGATAGGTAATGAAGCAGGGAATAGAAATGAGATCTTGTGTGGGGCAGGAGGGGGCAGCCAGGGGAAGGAAAGGGTGAGCATAGGAGGGGACCCCATGATCAAGTCTGTGCAGGGTACTGAATGCTTTGCCTCCCTGCAAGTCTCCTCCTTTCTCTGGTCCTCAGGTTCCGCATTTGCCAAATGAAAGATGCTACACTAGATGGTCTCTAACATCCCTTCAGGCTTGGCATCGAGTAGCCTTCCTAGGATCCTAACATACGGCTGAGTGTGGGAAGGTTCCAGCCAGCCCAGGAGGTCCCTTAGAGTTTAGGAGATGTGTGCTGTGGGGGAAGAAGAGGGGAAAGAGAATGGTGTGGGCTACTCCCCAGAGGGAGAGCAGGAGCTGGGTCCTTTGTCTTGAGGCTTTTCTCTCTCTCCTGTAGGCAGGAATATTAGGGGAGGTCTCAGGGGAGGGCTTCAGCAGAATATTCACCAGTTTTTTAGGTGTGCTCCCTTAGGGCCATGATCTCCACTGATTGGTCAGAGTCAGGACAGGGGTCTTTAGTCATTGCAGGTAGTCCTGGTGTCGCCCACCAGGTTTTGCAACTTTTCTGGGTCTGGAACTGAACTACAACTGAGGCCTAGATGTTATCTCTAGGGAGGTGACCTGTATCTGCTGTAAAGTGCTCTGCCAGCTTGTTCAGCTCTGTCTCAGCTTCCCTATTCCACTTGTCTGGCCCACTGGCCTGTCGCAAACCAGCTAATATGGTGGAACCAGTGTTTGACTTGAGTCTTTCTCACCCTCCAAACCTGTTCTCTGAACCCATGACAACCTGCACCTTGGTTCACCATTGTAAACCTGAGATTATCTATGTACCTGTCTACCTCTTGCTGTCTACTGCTGGTTACAAGGGGCAGCCACAGGGCAAGGGCCTTGGTCTGAGTGGCCACTTGCCTTACTGCATATTGACCATCTTTTGTTTTATTTTGTTGAAATATCTCACTCAGGCTTCTTCATATTTTTCAAAAGGAAAATAACTTAGTTTTCTTTAATGATAGGAATATGTGCTCATTTTAGATTATTAAAAGGATACTGCAATTTTGAAATAAAATTTTTAAATCTCCTGAAATCCCTCCACTCAGAGGCAATCACTGTGATCATTTTGGTGAATTTTCTTTCAGACATATCTCTGTGCACTTATTCACAAATAGATAAAAATGTACACTTTCAGATAAATGGAATCTTGCTACATAGATTAAAATCTTTTTTTCCTCCGACTCAACCATATTCTACAGACTACTTTAAATGTGTCATCAGTAGAGGTAAAATCAGCATATAAATTGTGATAGGTACATGGTATTTAATTATATTTATGTACCATTATTTGTTTAACTGTCCTGTATTGATGGATTTGCAGATATTTCTGTTATTAAATATTATAAACATTTCTGTATCAAACATCTTTTAAAAGCTGGCATCTTGTTTTGGTTTGCATTTCTTTAATTGTAAGATTAATCTTGGTTTCATATGATTATTGGCATTTGTATTTCTTTTCTTTTTTTAAGTTCTCTATTCATGTTCTTTGCCCATATTCCTATTAGACTGTATGTTTTTTATCAAGGGATTTAAGGGCTCTTTTTTTGTTAAAGAGGTTAGGCCTTTGTATATATTTAAAACATATTTTCTTAGTATAGAGTTTGCCTCTAAACTTATTTATAATGTTTTTGAATCCTCCAAAACAGTTTTTAAAAAATAAATATATTTTTATTGATTTCAGAGGGGAAGGGAGAGGAAGAGAGAGAGAGAAACATCAATGATGAGAGGGAATCATTGATTGGCTGCCTCCTGCATGTTGGACCAAGCCCGCAACCCAGGCATGTGCCCTTGACCAGAATCGAACCTGGGACCCTTCAGTCCACAGGCTGATGCTCTATCCATTGAGCCAAACCAGGTAGGGCCAAAACAGTTTTTAAGTAGTCAAATTGATCTGATTTTTACTTTATAGCTTAGGTTTTGTATCATGCTTACGAATGTTTTCCCTCCTCTGAGATTAACATGAATAGTCCCATGTTTTCTTTAAGTACTTTTATGATTTTTGTTTTATATTTGAATCTTTAATGCACTTATAGTTTATTTGTGTTAAGGAGTGAGGGTAGGAATACAGCTTTCTTTATATTGCAAATAATGAGCCAGATGCTCCAAGTTATTTTAATTAACCAATTTCCCTCCCTCCCATTGATTTGAATACCACCTTCATTTTGATCTAAATTTCCACAAGCTTTGTGTTTTGAGATTATTGATTCAAAGGTGCACTGTTGTTTTACATGGAGGAGGGTTTTTCCATCCTGAGTTTTCAGCAGGTCTTGTTGCGATATATCTTGTTTGTGATGTTTCTCTTTGAAAACTGAGGTTCTCATACTATGTTATCAGGGTAACAGCATCTTTTCCTGGGTAGTGTATTCTGGAGCCAAGGAAATGCTGCAGAGCTGGCCCAGTTTGTTTTTGTGGAGGCCATACCCAGTGACCTCTCCTTTCCTAGACCCCACTTCTAACTTTTGCCACAATACCCATAAGAAGATGGATTAAAAAAAAATCAAAGCCAGTTTTGTGTCTGAACCTGGACTAAGTGAGTTGAGCCCCCACCTCCCCAACTCCCCACCTTCCAAGACAGACATTGAGTCTGTAGTTGAGAAGAGTCTGCCCTTGTTTCATGAGGCCAACGTTCCCCCCTGTGGCCTGTGCTCCTTAGGAACCATTTATTTTCAGAATGAAAATGTTTAGATTCCTGGGCGCACAGCCTTCTGCAAGCAACTGGAACCAGGACTTCCTTTGAGTCTGTTGAAGGAATTTTAAAAAAAAGCATTGCTGCTCTTTGCCCTATTGTTCCCTGACTTTAATCCGTGAATGATTTAAGGTTAGACTGTTCAACCTGCTTCTCAAACTCTATTCCTGTCACCATTGTTTGAGCTCTTAAATTAATGAGGGGGATCCCCACTGTGCGTTTGAGGAATGGAGTATGCGAGGGAAACTCTCAGATTGTTATTAAATCATCACAATAATAGGTCAGTACTGTGCATATCCAGATTAAGTTATTTGCCCAGTTACGTACTCGTAATTGCAGTACTGGGGGTTGAACCAATGTCTGTTCCACTCCAAAGTCTGTGTGCTTTTCCTTGTACCAAACTGCCTAATAGGGACAAGTTTTCAGGTTTTGGTGGCAGATGAAAAGGATTCTTTCTATTCTTTCTCTTTAGTTATAAAAATCTCCTTTAATTAAAACATTTCCTTCATCTAATTAATAGATGCATTGCCGATACATTTGCTTCTTTTTAAAAATTAAGACTATTTTTTGAGCAGTTTTAGGTTCACAGCAAGGTTAAGGGGAAGGTACAGAGATTTCCCATGTACCTCTGCCCTGATACATGCATATCTTACCCTTATTCTCAACATCCCAGATTATTCTCTTAAATTCAGACTTATGAGGAATAATAATTTTATACATGTTTAAAGTCACTCTTTTTAAGGGTGCAATTTGATGAATTTTGACAAATGCATAGTGTCATGTAATCACCATTCTAATAAAAATATAGAGTATTTTAATCACTCCAAAAAGTTCCCTTGTGCTATTTTGTAGTCAAGCCCTTTCTTCCACTCCCAACCCCTGGCAACTATTTCTGAATTCTATCCTTGTACTTTTGTCTTTTCTAGAATGTCATATAAATGGAATCATGCTGTAGGTAGCCTCTTGAGCTTGCCTTCTTTCTCTTAGCATAATGCTTTGAGATGCATCCATGTTGTTGCATTTATCAGGAGTTCATTCCTTTTTATTGCAAGTAATATTCCATTATATGGATGTACTATAATTTATTTATCCATTCACCAGTTGATGGACATTTGGGTGTTCAGTTTTTGGCTATTACAAATAAAGCTGCTTTGAACTCATACTTCCAGATTCATTTATAGATCTTTGTATGGACATATATTTTAATTTCTCTTGGGAAAATATCCAGGAGTAGGATTGCCCAGGTTGTATGGTAAGTATATGCTTAGCTTTATAAGAAATTGCTAAACATTTTTTAAAGATGGCTGTACTATTATGTATTTCCATCAGCAATGGACGAGAGTTCCAGTTACTTTACAGTTTCCCCACTACTTGTATTATCTATTTTTAAACATTCTAGTAGATATGTAGTGATATCACACTGTGGTTTTAATTTGCATTTCTTTAATGACTAATAAGGTTGAGCATCTTTTCATGTGCTTATTTGCCATCTGTATATCTTCTTTGGTAAAGTCTCTGTTCATATCTCTCCCCATTTAAAAAATTGGGTTATCCTTATTGATTTGTAAGAATTCTTTATATATTATAGATACAAGTCTTTTATCATATATATGTATATATATATATATATGACATCTGCACCTAATATATATACAATATGGCAAATATAAGATCTTGGTCTTTTCATTTTCTTAGCAGTATCTTTGGGAGAGCTGAAGTTTTTAATTTTATGAAGTTTTTTTATGTTACAATTTATGTATTTTGTGTTCTA